CTTCGATATCTTTTGAACTGCCCCTACTGTTTGTATAATATACATTTAAACCTACTCTTCCCTGGTCCTGTTTTACCCCTTGTCCTGAGCAACTAATTTTACTTCCCAGGACCTGCTTGTTTTTTGACTCCCACTTTCCCAGACCCCTCTCTACTGGCGAAACCCCCCCTTCGGAGTGATAATTTCACGCTCCAGGGATGCAGACAACGTCTTTACCCCCTCACGAGACAAGTGTACTCCGTCGCGACAGTACAGGTAGTCGTTGCCATAGAATCGTTGCCAGTTATCAATGAATGCCCAACCATTGTTTGCACAATGTTTTTCCAGTAGGCAATTTATAGCAATTGCCCTGGACAGCCATCCACGACCAACCCCTCTTCTAGGCAAGACACCACATACTATCGGGATCCCTCCCCTATCTCTAATCTTCCCCAGCGCCTCCCTATACCTCTTGAAAAGTTCCTCACTCCTAACCTTACCTATGTCGTTTCCTCCCACACTAAGACACACTACTGGATTGGTACCCTCCCCTGACAAAACCCTGTCTAACCTCTCGGCTACATGCCCTATCCCATATATATATATATATATATGTGTGTGTGTCTGTATGTATGTGTGTATATATGTATTTATGTATGTACTTTTCTCTGAAGATATTAAAGAATTAAATGTATTGTCAAATAATTCCTATTCTTGGGGCTTCCTGTGTTTAGAACCCAAACATGTTTCTCTCCACCTCATGGTCTTGTGTAATCCACAACACACATCTCTTGTAAAATGCATTAATCAATCCATGCTTGTTGTTCACATATATGTGACAATAGGAACCACTTTTAAACCAGTATAAACACAGCTTTCGTCACTGTTACTATGTACAAGGATGTCTCACACCCTATTCGAGGAACATTACGTTGGTTATAATGTAGTCTCTACTTCTCACAGATCGCAAGACTGTTGTAGTGGACGTCTCCCCTACAACTGCATAGCCGCATTCCACCTGCTACATCTTCCCTAGCAACCAAACTAGCGGCCCAAGGGGGGGGGGGGGCGTCACCAGATGCCACAGTATCCTAGCAACTGAGTCAAAAGACCGGCTACTTCCCGGGTTTTCCCACCATGACTCACGGCTGACTCACGGCTGCTGGGTATATACACTCTGTCTCTCCATTGAGATTCATTCTGGCCTCTCCTCTTGAACACACAACACCTCCTCCTCCGCCGCTGCCTGGCGGCCCTCGCTTCTCCTCCTCCTGCCTGGCGGTCCTCGCTCCCGCCGGCGAGCATGGCGACCCACCAGCTGTCCTTCTCTGAGCGTCTTCACCAACCAGCTCTCTTATTCTGCTCTCGGTTCCTGAACACGCAACACCTCCTCCAAGCAAGCTCCTCGCTGTCCCGTTCTCATTCAACCTGGAGGCCAGCAACAGGCAACATCTTCTCTAACGAAGCTCCTGCACATCTACCTCCTTCAACACGCTACCCACCGAACGTGCCTACTGAGCAGCTCCTCACCACACGGCACCTCCAGCACCAGACTGTCTATCATATAACTTATATTATACAAGAAAACCACCTTAGAGTTTCCATCCATCCTGAGTGCTAGACAACATTATATCACGAAACCCTACACTGTAATACTGATCAACCAGACAACATAAAGGTGAAATGAAAGCGGCTGCTAGTAACATATATGTATCAATATATATATTATGGCACTTTTATACAATAATTATATATTATATACTCTGATAGTATAAATATATATAGATATATGTGCAGTGTGTATCACAGTATAGTGTTTTTGGTTTTATATACAAACCTGTTCTTATAGAATATACATACATCATGTGCTTGCTGGCAATTTATTTCTTAACATCATAAACCACGGTATTATGCTTACCCACAAGTGTTACTGTAAGACAAGATAAAAACCTTTTTGAACAGAGGCATAACAGTTCCTTACGAAGTCTTTGGTACTGCTAGAACGCTTAACATACTCTATATAAAGTTGTCAACAACTGAATTAAGAATGAAATTAGGGCATAACAGTATATGAGTTGAGGTGTGGGTGGCGGGAAAAATATAAAGGCCCACCACGACACTGGTATGAGGCGATACTTTCACATCCGCACCCATACACTGTCACCATTGACATGATTTCACAGTTGTACTGACAGTAACTTACTATAATTTAAGTGTAATTTTGTCACCGCCTTTGATAAGAGGTAACTCCTGAGGATGTCTTAAGGCTGTGTTTCTTGTCTCCGGCCACAAAATCTGTTGGGAGTTTGCATGGTATCAACAAGAAACAATATATTGGCCAAACCTAAGCTGATATTTTATCATGTTAGTAACAAGGATATCTTAGCTTGTATGATGAAGGTTCATCGCTAGAAATCTGTTAAATGATTCTCAGGATATATATATATATATATATATATATATATATATATATATATATATATATATATATATATATATATATATATTATTCCGTATGTCCTTTTGAGTTAACAACGAGTGGAGGACGTAACATAGAGACAAGTGGCGTAACTGTTTATCATAATTCTCGTTCTCGTACTTGTCATAATGTCTCTACCACGATAATTAAAAAAAAAAAAAAACTTGGAGAAAGCACAGTACCACACTCGCTTTCGGAGCTGTATTCCTCGTTATTTTCCTTTCCTGGTTTGTCCAATCCCCAGGATTTCGAAGAACGCTCAGAGCTCCAACTGTGCCAATTACCGAAACTGAACCCTCAGGATATAGCCTCAAGGAGGCCGATCTCAGCAGCTGAGGTAGTGTAGTTAAGCAGAAAATTTGGTTGTTCGTCTTGAAGTACAAACAAAGGCTGAACATTGCGAGCCACAACTTGATGAACCAAACAAATTTTTAATTATTGCCAGAGAGGTGCTAGATAGCCCGCACGCTCCGCAGAAACTGATTAGATTCTCAGGAGGTCCGTCGCTTGGATTCTCGTTAATGCAGGGGTGGATCCAGGGGAGATACTGGGGTCCGGTTCCCCCCTTTCATCAGAAAATTCCATTACTTTTCTTTAATGCAGCATTGTACTCAGACATTTTTGTACAGTTAAAATTAATTACTATTGACATCAGAATATCTTCTAATATCAAATGAAATGTCTTAAAAATGGCCTCTAAATGTCCATGATATTGGTCAGATTTAAAAAAAAATTCTGGGGGTTACAGCGCCCCTCCCCCCCCCACCCCCAAAATCCCTCTATCTGGATGGGTTCGCTGTGCTCGTCATTATTCCCCGCCCACAACTTCTTGGAACCCCTTTTGATTTTCTTGGATCCGCCCTTGTAATGTCAATAGAATAAGCTTGAATGGGCAAATTAAAACATGTTTTTGAATGATGCAGTGTGTTACACGACTGTTTCTCGGTAGAGTGCTCGTAGGTGATGCTGCCAACCCATTATACATTTTGTTGGCGACTCAGTATAATCACATCAGAAACTTAGCATATGACCAAAGAAGTATGTCAAGATTAATCCTTAAACGTCAAAGTCCTTCATATGGGTCCACGCTATGTCTCGTGTGAGGTCTTAGGTGGATCTTGAACATCTCTTCTGGAAAATGAGTCTAGAAACATGTTTCCTTTGACCTAAGTTATTAAAAATGAAAAGTAACAAGAATCAAATATTTTCTTGAACACTTTGATGCAAAGTTATATGAAAATTATGAAATGCATTACAACTTCAAACCAACAATATCCATGTTACTAACTTTATACACGCAATCCCGTGATAGTTGGACGTTAAATGACAGACACGTCCCCATGGACACCAGATCAAATCTCACGTTAATGAAGCGACTTGTACTGTGCAACCAAATTTTGAAAAGCTACTTCATATTTCACGACTTTCATAACATGAAATTATGTCATTAATGCCAGACTTGAACCTTGTGGGCGTCACTAGAAAGTTGTTCTTCAATGTAATTTTATAAGGCAGGGTTTTACATTGCTTCTAATGATCAAATGATTATTCGATATATTTAGGATATACTCTCGTGAATATAAAAAAAAACTACATCATTGTGCAGCAAATACAGTTGGAGGTTTGATCATGACCTTATTAGTTTTATATTCATCAGACCTCAGGGACAGACTTGTTGAAATGCTATCACCACTTCATACACACCCTTAACTCCCCCTTCAACAGTTCATACACACCCTTAATTCCCCCTTCAACAGTTCATACACACCCTTAACTCCCCCTTCAACAGTTCATACACACCCTTACCTCCCCCTCCAACAGTTCATACACACCCTTAACTCCCCCTTCAACAGTTCATACACACCCTTACCTCCCCCTCCAACAGTTCATACACACCCTTAACTCCCCCTTCAACAGTTCATACACACACCCTTACCTCCCCTCCAACAGTTCATTACACACACCCTTACCTCCCCTTCAACAGTTCATACACACCCTTAACTCCCCTTCAACAGTTAATACACACCTTACCTCCCCTTCAACAGTTCATACACACCCTTTCAACACACCCTTAACTCCCCTTCAACAGTTAATACACACCCTTAACTCCCCTTCAACAGTTCATACACCCCTTATCTCCTCCAACAGTTCATACACACCTCCCCTTCAACAGTTCATACACACCCTTACCTCCCTTCAACAGTTCATACACACCCTTAACTCCTTCAACACATCTCCCCTTCAACAGTTTACACCCTTAACTCCTTCAGTTCATACACACCTTAACTCCCCCTTCAACAGTTCATACACACCCTTATCTCCCCCTTCAACAGTTAATACACACCTTAACTCCCTTCAACAGTTCACACCTTAACTCCCTTCAACAGTTCACACACACCCTTACAACAGTTCATACACACCTTCCCTTCAACAGTTCATACACACCCTTAACTCCCCCTTCAACAGTTCCCACACCCTTAACTCCCCTTCAACAGTTCACACACTTACCTCCCCCAGTTCATACACACCCTTATCTCCCTTCAACAGTTCATACACACCCTTAACTCCCCTCCAACAGTTCATACACACACCCTTACCTCCCCCTTCAACAGTTCATACACACCCTTAACTCCCCTCCAACAGTTCATACACACCCTTACCTCCCCCTCCAACACTTCATACACACACCCTTACCTCCCCCTCCAACACTTCACACACACACCTTTACCTCCCTCACAATCGCTGGAATCTCAAGTATTTATAGTATTTCCGTACAACAACGTGCTCTTAATACAAATACCCATACGATATTATCATATATGATAATATTAAGAACATGCTGTAAAGTCTTTTATTATGTCTGTTTATCGAAGCTATGCTATTTACTTATCTAAAGCTAGTTTTGGTCATCGTAAAGTCTAACTAGCAGACTCTCCGTTAACTACAAGGTGTATGACCTCTATAGGTGTTCACATCTCACCCATGCACACAAGTCTCTCATTAACACATTACCTCACCCTCGTTCTTATCTAATGTTTGGTCCTTCGGTTTAGTAAAACACTAATGAACGTAGAGTGATCTTGTGGATCTCGAGTAATATTATCCTGTACAGGGATCATTTAAGGGGAGTGAGAGTTTTTATATTCCTACAGTCGACGCACTCAAACTTCAGAGTTAGAAAACTACAATACTAAATTTAAAAGTTTTTGGACGGTGTCAATATCTACGTAATGAGGCAAGAGTGAGGAAGGGCGAGTGAAGGAGCCGACGAGAGCCGGACCTTTCCACGCCCAACACTCCCACAGGGAGTTCATTTATGCATCTTCTCTCTGAGAAGACTTGAGGAAGCACTGAAAGTTTAATATTCTTAACACTCTTCACTTTTGTCACCACTTTTGGCATCGGCTCGCCTGTTGCTGACAACGTTGCCAGTTTACACCTGACTTCATGTGTAACACGCTATTAATTTGGTAGAGTTACTCATATGACAATAAACGAGCCTAGTGACAGCTCTAGGATCCCGCTTCCTCTATCAAGGAATAAATATTGAAATTGAATTGAATTGAATAAACGAGAATATTTTTCAATTGCTGTTGATATTGTCTGTAGGGTTCTCTTATGGGCAGTTGAATTTAAGGTACATAAGGCTTGTTAAGACGTATCATGAGGTGGTGGTGTTCAGGAAAACTGCTTGAGGAGGGCGTTGATGGCGTTGATGGAGTTGTGGATCCTCTGTTGTTCTTTTTGCGCTGGGTCTGACGGGGCACGACTGCGGCGCTCCTCCTGCCTCACTCTCTCTGTTGATGCATACAAATTCTCCTTATTACTCTCCTCACTTGACATCTATTGCAAAGAATCGCCCAGGTACAGTTGCTTGCATTTATACCTGGTACAGTGACCGGTGCGTTTTGTGACATGTGGCAATCTGTGTTTGTTTACTTCGTATTAAAACTCCCGGAATAGCAATCTGTCGCCTCTCACAAAACGCGCCAGATACTGTACTAGGTATAAATACAGGTGACTGTACATGATAATATAATTATTAGCAACACCAAAATCTGATTTAGAACGTATTTTTGAGATGCCTCTTCATACACGTTGTAAAGTGGGGAACCACCTGGGTTATTAGGTTTGATCCTGAATATATCATCGATTTCATTTATTGAAAAGTATTAAGAAATCGATGAATTTTACTGTAATGGTATGATTGAGTAAAGTGGGGATTTGTGATGTAATAGACAAAGACAGCAAAGTGGTAACAATTGTAACTGAAGGTGACGACAATGGTGGGGAATTTGACTCATTGAATGCATGCTTATATTAAATTCTCCACATTTCTTTCTCTCTCTGTCAGATGTTTTATCTCAGATGAACAAATTTAAATTAAAAATTAGATGCCCTCAATGTGAAAAATTTTAATTTCGTTAAGCGCTTTCAGCCCTGCAGTAGATCATCTGTTGATCAACTTCCTAAGAACATTTTTGCCCAGTTTTTAAGACATTTTAACTATATTTCAAAATACTATTGACTTTCTTTTAAGATACTTTAGACCAACTTTTAAATACTTTCGACTGATTTTTAAGACACTTTGGCCAAATATTTCTGCATAAAGAAATACTTAACACTGCCCTGTTCGGTCCCCCCTGACTCGTCCTCTCCTCACAGCGACCAGTTGCATGAAGATGGTGCTCGTAATTTACCTTCACTTAGAGTCCTTTATAGCGACCAGTAACTAACCACTGTGGGTGAAAGTGTCGGTACTCACCCTTAGGATAGAGTCTGGTGCGTCCTCCAGCCGGCCGCTCAGTGAAGCATTTCTCTATGTTGCTTCCTTCCACGACGATGGTGTCACCTCGTCCCCTCTCCTCTGCTGTATTCACACTGGCCGATCTACCCATACACAACACTAGTTAATATTGTAGTAATGTGACTCTTCTAGTATTTCTTAATATTCCAGCAGATATACGTATGTAATTAATTGGGGTAGAATTGTGCACATCGCGCTACAAATATGAAACTTTGTTCAATTGTTCCTTATGGTTATAAGAATGATTTTAGATATAGGGTTATGAATAAAAAAAATTGATATCAAAATATAGTATGCCATTTTTTAATTCCATTATTATCATTATTCATTAATTAAGGCCTTTATATTTTATTAGGTTTTCTGTTTTCTTGTCGCTGATGTTTATTTATGCCATTTTATTTCTAGTGTCATCTTTTATTAATTATAATTTTTGTGAAGTTTTATTTATATTATGGAACGAATGACAAACAGTAATTAATTTCTACTTTGTGTGAGCCGGAGATAAGGTACCGAGACCCACCGATTTCGGCTGTAGTTTTTTATTTTTTTTTTATTTTTACAGGGATCAGCCTACCCGAGCACAGGTCACTGACCCACGTCGGGGCATGGGAGGCGAAAATATAATAATAATAATAATAATAATAATAATAATAATAATAATAATAATAATAATAATAATAATAATAATAATAATAATAATAATAATTTTAATAATAAAACATTAATAATAAAAATTAATAAAATAAATAAAAGTTATAATAAAATAAAAATAATAATATACTACAACTACTTTTTTTTATTTATAATTTTTTTTAACCTGCTTCCATCCTCCCCTTATAGCCATACCTTCGCCGCCATGTTATTACCTTAAAATTAAATATCCTAATACACAAGTAGCTATCCTAGCTGTGTTGAGTTAGTTGAGCCGCATATCTATGCGGCATTCAGTGACTGTTGCCTCATAGTCATTATCTGCAACTGTTGTTGGCTTTGGGGCCGATGCTCTCGTTCCTCTGAGGCAGAGCAAAGCCGACCTAAGGAGAGAGAAGGACAGTCGACATCTCATCCAGGCTGTAACATAACTTCTGGGCTGCTGCTTCTGTTCAGCTAGCACCTCCGCGAGTCTGGCGTAGAAGCATCTTACACTTGGTCCCATCCCACCAGAGGTTGTGAACACTACTCCTACTACTACTACTACTACTAATAATAATAATAATAAAATCAAGAATGAGAAACGATATATGTATGTTATGTTGTCAAAGTAAGAGAAACAATTGAGACCCTGCAATTGTGTGTAAATAAGGAAGAATGTCACATCAGCAACCTGGGACTTGGTCACAATTTTTGTGATGCCATAGGCAGCAGGGTGTACCATTAGACAACACATTATGTTTCCAATATCTTCCCAGGCGGTAATACATCCCTGTTTGATAGCTGTTTACTACCTACTACCTACTACTGTATCTACTACCTGTAGGTGCCTTCCTTTTTGTTTAAGAATTCTCCTGATATTTAAATCAATCTAGTTATTTCTGAGGGTTATCTAAATAAGGGTAAGTGCCTAGAGAGTAGTTAGTCAGAGAGTAAAGTAATAAGAAGTCAGTTAGAGTGTAAGACAGTGACAGGCAGTGAGAAGGGTTCAGAAGTGTACAGTGCCTTTTGAAAAAGTTATACTTCCAATATCTTCCCAGGCGGTAGTTTGTTGATAAAATAAAACCTCTCAATTTCGTTGTTTTCATTGTAATAAAAGAATGGGTAAATTTCAGAGAAAGAGACAATTGTTTAATTGTTACCTAAGTCAAGGTAGTGACTTATTTTTACCTTTTGAGCTTCTTGTTGAGGTACTCGCGGACGTCAGTGAGTAGCTGGTCCACCTCTGAGGTAACGGCGGCAGCTGCCTTGCTGGGGGCTGGAGGACCCTCCTCCTCTAGTCCTTGTCGTTTCCCACGGCGTCGTCCAACCGTTGGAGCCGTCCGTCTCCCCATGCCTGAATTATATATCAATAAGACTGGATTGTGACGTCTTTTCATCTAAACCAACTTTGTCTGTTGCTCGACTTAGTTAACACAACATGTTCAACTGAATCTGAAAAAAAAATTTGGTAGTAAATTAAAAAATATTTAATGATATTTGTTATTTGTTGTATTGATTGTCAACATTATTACGACTAACTGATATTGCTGGGAATGGATGTTGATAATCTTAAGGTAATTAAGAACCATTAACGGAATAATATGTTGTAAAATTATATGTGCGATTATTTCAATTAAAGACAAGTATAAAATTGATATTGCCCCCCCCCCAAAAAAAAAAATAATACGGTCACTCTTACTTTAGCTGTGATTGGAATATGCTTCATACTCTCTAATAGGTTCACACGTTTAAAACTCGCTTTAAAACTATCTAAATGAAATAATTATTAAGGAATACACATGATATATATATATATATATATATATATATATATATATATATATATATATATATATAAACCGGAAATCTCGAGAAGGTCATTATTTGCCGGAAATCTCGTTCGGCGAGATTTGAATCACTAGGCGATTGTAAACACATGGCGTAGTTTCAGGTCGCATTCGGGCGCATTGGTACGGACCTAGTAATGTCGCATTAGGGCGGATAGAGTTAATATCTCATATACCTCATATCTCTTTTTTCTTTTTTCCGTTATTTCCAAATTGGGGCCCACCGGGAAATTTCCCGGTATCTCGGTGGGCCAGTCCGCCACTGTATCACGGGAGAACCACGCATGTCAATTCGTGCCGCATCCCGTTCAAATTTTCTTGGTCTGTAGCAGACTGGTCAAGGGATGATTCAGTCAGGGCTCATCATTATATTTTAAGGATAGTATTGAACAAAGTTGATTATTAGATACAGATAAATACATCAAGCCTGATACAAAAAAGCCAACGATTTCAACCATGAGTCATAAGCTGCTCAACGTTGTGGCAATAGTGAGCCTGGGGAAAGTAATCGCTGCCTGAGTCAAGATTTTGTAGTGGAGATAGTTTTGACTTGACTTGGTGCCTGTAGATAAGGATGAAGGGCTATTGATTGTTGTTGGGTGAGAGGGTAGGGGGGGGGGTGGAAATACTTTGGATGTACAGTACTTGGCGGGAGGGAAAGGTTTTAGGAGAAGGTAAATGAGTAGGATATTTGAAGGAAAGTAGGAGAGTAAAGGGAACGGGCTCAACCAGATATGCTGTATATTAAAATTCTTTGTTGATCTTTTGTACTACTAATTTAAGTTCTAGCTCTCAGGCCTTTGACTTTTCTCTAGGTCATGTTTTGTCATTGCAGTAGCCAGTATTTAAATGAAGAAGTGACGACCTCTGGCCAGGTTCATTATGGAGCTGGCTGAGCATCGTATCTTTTGCTTTAAAAAGGCAAGCAGGGGTTGGAGAGGCCAAGGATAGTGTGCGTTAGTCACTTTTTTTTTTTTAGGAATTGAAGCCTTTGTTTGAAATAGGAAAATTTTTTTGCACGGAAGTGGCGAAGCATCCAACTTGCTACTTTGGTTCGCAAGGAGGTGGTCCTATCTTTTTATTTTAATTGCAAAGGTTGACTTTGTGTTGGCAGTGTTTTAATTGACTGTTCATTCTGCTTTTTATTGGTTTTATTTTGTTATTGTATTGTTCTGAGATTTTTAGTTGTATCTTGGTATTAGTACTGGGTTGTTTAGTCTTGTTCTGCTGGATGTGAACCATAAATGGTCTCTCACTCTTCTTTCTATTTCATTATCCAGCCAGTGAGTTACAGCTTCTAACTCTTCTGCTTGCCCCCAAGTTCTCTTAGCTTTGTTGTATATGTCTACATTTACTGCCTCGATGTTGGCTCTCCTATGCAGTTCTTCGTTTGTTATCCTTTGTTCGTATCTGATGATATAAATCGTAGACATTTATTTTGTATTTTTTGTAGTTTCTTGATTCTTTTGTCACTGAATGCGTTGATTGGTACAGGCAGGTATTGATTTTATTAGTGCTGAATACAGTTTTAGTTTGTTTTGTGTATTCAGGTTTTGGATTCTCCCATTTTTTAAAAATTTTCTGCGTAGTTGGTTATCCTTTCTTTAATGAAGCTTTGGTATCCGGTTTTTGTGATCTTGATTCCTAGTATGGTACCTTCATTGGCGTATGGGTGTATTACTTCATCCACGATGACTGGTTCGGCCTTTTGTTTGGAAATAGGTATGATTTTAAATATGTTAATATTTGTTTTAATCTTAAATTTTCTTCCATAATTATTTATGTTTTTTATTGCATGCGTTGTATGGCGTGCTATCATTGCCTCTGACTTCCCATGGTATTATATGATTTGTGTGATGTCGTCTGCGAAGATGATATGTTCACTATGTTGTGCTGGTTCCGGAAGTTTGCTTGTATATCTGGTGAATAATGTTTGGGACAGGACGCCCCCCCTGGGGCACTCCACTTTCGAGGTCTAGGGTTGGGCCTACAGGGTAGATACATAACAATTTGCAGCTCTACTGTTTCGGAGGTAGTCACACAGGATTCTGTCGCTTTCTGCGGTCAGGTATAGTTGTAAGATTTTGTACTTTAGGCCTGTGTGCCACACTTTATCAAAGGCTTTTGCCACTTCTCTCAGCACAAGGTTTACTTGGTTTCCAAGTTGTTTTTCTTTGGCGATAATTTGTTATTATAGCTTTTGTAGTTTGGGTTCCTCTCCCTCTCCTGAAGCCATGTTGTCTTGTGCTGAGTTTATTTTTTGTAACCAGGAATTTTTGTAGCCTGTTGTTTATTATGCGCTCTAGGAGTTTGCCAGTTAATTCCAGAAAATATATAGGTCTGTAGTTGGTTATTTGTTTTGGATCTTTGCCTTCTTTGGGGATGAAGATCATTTTAGCACATTTGAGGGCATCGGGGAAGTAACTGGCTGATCTTCTCTGCTCCCGAGGTACTACGTGAACCTGACGATGAAGCTGACCTGTGACCAGGTGAAGGTCGTAAGACTGAATCCAGTCACATGCCCTTCGCGCAAGCAACTAACCCTCCTTGTCCTAAGGAAGTTTTTTGAGTCCTTAGGAATCAGGGGGGTGACAAGGGTCGTCCACAGACCAGTGTGTGGTGGCCTTATCGTCAGCTTCGCGGTATGGGGACAGGCCCAGCAAATAGCAAATATTACATGAATCAACGGGATCAAGATACTAGTGGAAACTCACACAGAGGATAACTTGGTGTTAGGAGTCATCTCCCACACCGAGATAAAACACCTTGAAAAAGAAGAACTGGGCGAGCTGATCGGAGACCAGCTCTCAATAATACGGAAGCTGACCAGCGTAACTGCATTGGTTGGTTACCCAAAGAATCTACCAAGCACCGTATTGCTGGGATGGGAGAACATCCCAGTAAGACCGTATGAAAGAAAGCCAAGAAGGTGTTACAACTGCCAGGGGTATGGCCATCTGGCAGGGAAGTGTCGAGCTCGAGAGGTCTGTTGCAGTTGTGGGACACCCGGGCACCTGCACACCAACTGCTCGGCGGCCGCCAAGATAATGCGCAGCTTGTGGTGGCCCTCACTCCTCCTCTGACAGAGAGTGCCCCAAGTGGAGGGAGGAGTGTGTGTAGGGTGGCTAAGCTGCGAAGCAAGAACAAACTGAGCTACAAGGAGGCTCTCCTTGTAGTGAAGACCAAAGAAAAGAAGAATCAAGACCCCCAACAAGACCACAGAAAAGAAAAATCAAGGCCCCAAGAAGACCACAGAAAAGAATACAGAATTAAACTAGACCGAAGAAAAGACAAAAAAGCCAGATTTAGTAACATTAAAATCTTCAGCGTTTTTCGACTTTTACGAGAATATACCAGAACAAGACCAGAAGAAGAATTGAAATTGAAAAGCAAAAAAAAAAAAGAAGTCCAAAAAAAAAAGACCCAGAAAAAAAAAACAGCGGCCGAAATAGCCTAAAGGCGAAGTGGCCAGTAATCTCCAAGCAAGCCAAGCCAAGGGCTGAGTTGCGTATATTTAGGAGTGCTTATATTGGTCTATTAGGTAGGTTTAATAGAATATTTCGAGTTATGCCACTTATTCCAGGGGATTTTTCTTTAAATTTGCGTAAGTTGTGTAGTAGTTCGTCGTGCCCTATGAATCTATTGGCTTTTAGTCTATCTGGATTTCCTGTATGGTAGGGCGTCAGTCTATTGTTTCCCTCTCTTAGCTAGTCTTTTATGGCTTCTTCGTGTTCTTACACAGAATTCTCAATTTCTTCTTTTGATATTCTGAATATATTTTTCCATTCTCTACAAAAGGCCTCTAATTTTTCTCGGTCTGTATAAAGTTTTTCTCCGCTTTGGTCTTTTATGTAGTTTACTGTTTGTGTCCTTTGTCGTATTTATTTGATATTAGACTGTTCCATTTTTCGTTGTTAATATTGATATATTCTTCTTGGAGGTCATGCTGAATTTCCCTTACGTTTAGGAATACACTGTAGTTCTCTAGTGCAGGGGTTTTCAAACTATGGGTCCCGACCCTTCAGTGGGCCGCGAAATAAATAAATTGGGTCGCGAAAATAAATAAGAAAATAAAAATAAATGCACCATAATTTAGGCTTGGTTATTGTAATGTACACTCCACAGTCTAGGAAGCGACTGCAAGGAGAGCATTTCCTGATTCTTTCTTTACCTCTCATGTCAGTGTTTGTCTTTGATTTACTAATTTCATATCATTACACTTAGGTTTAATGGGTCGCAATTCAAATTGTTGTTCTGGCTGTGGGTCGCAGTAAAAAAAGTTTGAAAAACACTGCTCTAGTGGGTCCTGCTTTGTGTACGAGCTCCTCTCTGAGCTGAATAAAATCGCCTGGCGTTAGTCAAATAAATTACTAAACGTGATGTCCCCGTTATAAAACCTGCTAAAAGCAGGGTGCAGGTCTTTTACAGGCCTTGCCCGCCGATACCATCAGCATTATTTATTCACTGATTCCCTTTTCAGCACTCACTCAGAACCTGTGTGTACGTGGGCCTCAACTCTCAACTACTGAACTCCAGCTCACCTTCTTCGTTTCGTATCTGCTGCCTATTCAGCTTAGCTATTTCTTGTACTTTTCTCTCGTCTAAGTGACCCTTTCAGCATTAGTGCTAATAATGAAATCGCTTTACATGCCCTTACTAGTGGAGTGATGTTACGCCTCCGTGACTCTGAACTCACGTACTTAATGCGCGCCAACATATATACACGACCACTTCAGTTCTCGTATTATGTTTTTGTTTTTTATTTGTTACCATTTAAATCATTGCAAAATTCTTGTGCATTTGACCATACCTGGCTTATGACTAGCGTTTTGTTATGAGTTGAGCCTTTTCAGTTGTTTCTTTGTATATATAAAAATACTGTTGCTGCATGTTTAACTACCCTCCCTATACCTGATATCTGAAATATTACTAACTATTATCTCCCTAATACCCAATTTCATTGGAAACATATCTACTTTGTTCATGAGAGGAATTTTTATTTAACATCTCTGTTATGGGCAAAATGGAAACTAGCGGTTAGCAGTTACTCATGACGTACGTAACATCGGAACCTTCGTGATTGGTTTTGATCCTCGCTGCGAGCTGACAGTTTGGTCGGCAGAGGGTAACAGGAGGTAGCACTATGAACTTCTTTGGAGGTGAGAGAGTATCGTGTTATGAGATTCTCCAAACCCTCCCCGGCAGAGTGTGTGTGTTAGAGCGTGGAGTATACCTGACTGAAAAACTTGTTGGTGGAAGTCTCGTGCGAGGGACTAGCAGGGAGTAAAGATATAGTCCACTTGGAGGGGGTTGGATTACACCCTCCAGTGCAGGTCAGGAATTCGTGAGCAGACCGTTCTACTCTTACGTGACGGCGAGTTCCTGTACAGTACCCTCCCGACCATCACAGTGTGGAACTGATAACGAAGTAGAGTGATTCGGGCCAAGACTCGACACACGATATACGGAGGAGGATATTAGCCGACGACGCTACTGATGAATGATGAGGAGTAATGCTAATATAATGTTTACTAAATGAAGCAAACCATATAATGTATATAGCTGTACTGTACGTTGCAGTATAATGTGTGTGTGTGTGTGTGTGTGTGTGTGTGTACAATCAAAGACAAAAGTAGAGTAGAGGTTTTGTCCGAAGATTAAATATAACTCGTGAAACATTATGAGAACCCTACCACAAGGCAGAGCGCACCAAAAGTTTTAGCCCTTCGGCATATGTTTTCACCAAATTTCACGACACGACTTTTGTCTTTCATTGTACCTGTATATCTCAGAATATAATGAAGAAGTCAGATTTATTACAACATAAGCCAGTGGTTACATAACTAACACCAAACTACGGTAAGTGAAGCGTCACGTAGACATGATAATAACAACATAGCCCTAAACAGTATATATTTTTGACTACACATACAAAACCGATCCATCATTGATATGAAGATACGAAATGTTCCTTATAGTTGATTTCATCATAGGAATTCACCGTAAATATTGCGACAATATACTGTGTTTCTTAACAGATTAGTGACAGCGGATTTTACGTCAAAGGGATATTCATCGAACATAATTATAATGTATAACATCAGTAATGATTTCCAAAATTATGGACAATAATGTATGACAATGTTTAATTTGGGATGAATATTAGAAAAATGGATACCATCATTCAAGTCAACTCTTTCCCTATGCTATTACTTTAAGATTGATCTAAATATTTGCACTAAATACAAATACAAATATAGTAAATGTGACGATTTTGTATAGCATTATGTAATTGCATTATATATCAGAAGTCATGTAAATACTGTTGTCAGGTAACATCAAGGCTGAGTGGATCCGAGCACAGTGTATGGCTGGTGGTTGACGACGAGTTAACTGCACTGACCGTCACTTATATTGTTCTAACTAGTCGCAGACATGGCCGAATTTCAAATCCCAGACAGGGCAACCTATTGTTATCTTTTTCTACCTGACTATTTTGGGATGTCACTTTTGACCTCGTTACTGGATTTGTTACATGTCTCCTTTTGCGCGTATGTAATATATTTAGTTTCTTCCAGCAAATGTGGCTTTGCAGACACATACACGCATGTAGAGAGAGAGAGAGAAAGAGAGAGAGAGAGAGACTGGTTGAGATTGATTAAGATTGAGAGATTGGGAGAGATACAGATTGATATAGATTGGAAGAGAGGAAGATTGAGAGATACTGTCGAGTGAAATAAAGTGGGAGAGAGAGAGATTGAAATTGAGAGAGAGACTGACAGAGAGATTGACAGATTGACAAAGACATTGACAGAAAAGGAGTGGAGAGAGAGAGAGAGAGTAATATTTCACGTAGGCTCTGTGTGTGTGTGTGCGTGTGTGCGCGTATGTGTAGGGGGGGTTCATGAAGAGGCGTGTTGGGTAACTGTTCAGTACTTCGAACCACCGCTGTTAGAAGTTTGTAAATCATATTTACCAGACAATATTGTAATTGTAAGTAATGCCTATTGGAGTTTCTTTTTTTCAAAATATAATCTGGATGATCGCTCGCAATGGCATTTTATGAACCTCTTACGATAGCCCAAACGGTAATGTCCCTCGTATTTGTCGTTAGATCATTCATGTAATATTGATGGGAGGTTCGGCACAGCGACTCGTCTTAAATTAAGGGTGGAAGGGTCCGGTCACCTGCCGCGTCGGTCCGACTGTGCTCAGGTATTGTCTGTGGTTGTATCACGTTAGACGGTGTTCTTTGTATTTTATATTGTTTGAATATATTATGTTATGTTTGTGTTGCCAGGTGGTTAGTTATGTTTCCTTGTGTGGTCTAGTTATGCCTGTTAGTTGGGTGCCCTAGTTTGTTATGTAAGATGTAAGAGTCTATATTAATTGGGTAGTGTACTATATACCTATAGAGTTGTGAATTGGGAATTCTTCGATATTATACTTTATATATTTACACATTATGTATTGCGATCCTGAAATTGAATGGGCATTTAAAGTCTTATTTGGAAGAATCCGTGACTATATTCCCGGAGAGAATATTACAGGACTTTTATAACAATCTCACTTCCATATTTCACTGCAGCTCAAGTTTAGTTCTCTTTTGTAATTTCATGTTACATGGATTCCTTTTTAAAGTCAGATTAATTATACTAACAGTTATAGAAGTTCCTTCTGCAAGATGTTAATCAATTTACATTCGAGGGAGGGAAGTGTTGTACTTGCTTTAAAGATTTGAAAACACTTATTGGGTTATTATCGCAATCAAGGTGTGAAGGAAACTTTAGCATATATTTAACTAAGATTCTATTGTCAAAGGGGGATTATTCACACTAATTTCAAAAGTGCTGATACAATATCCAACATCCAAAGCCTCCGACAGGAGGTAAAGGGGCATTAATGGAGGTAACTGGCCGCAATAAGAGGAGTTACAAGGCCTGGAGAAACTATCTGGTCGCCTGATAAAAAATTATGACACAATTCACGCGTTTAGGTATACTTACACTCAGACTGGGAGGCATCTGGTGCACAACCGGAGTCGGATGAGGCCGCAGGGTTGCCGACATTTACCACGAGGTGCACCTGCCGTCGGGAGCTGATCCTCACGTCGTGCTGACGTGGTCCTGCCCGCACCTGAACTGTCACATTGTCGTCGGCAGTAGGAGTAAGCGGCGGTGGTGTGGTGTCTCTGCTCGGCTCCCCTCCCTTCAGCTGGTGTCCTCGATATCGGGATAGTGTGGCTAAGAACACGTCTAGAGCACTGAGCGTTGATGGTCGATACCTACCAGGGGTGTCCTCAACATCTATATTAGAAGAACGAGGTCGATTACGGCGACTCCTTCTGGCTTCTAAAGCCTTCAGTAATCTTTCAGAGTAACTGACCTCGCACGAATCTGAAGCTTCATAATCACTCTGGTTGTCCATCAGTAAGTCATCAATAGACCTCGGGGGACTGCCAGTAGTACCCTGAAGAGATCCGTCATCTGAATGCTGATGATGATGATGCAGATTGTCCACGTACTCCTGTACACGATGTCGACTTATAGAAACCGGGTCATTTTCTCTCTGGGGAGGAAGATCCTGGAACTCATTTCTTTGAGATGCTTCCCAATGTCGCCTTCGAGGGTTAGACTCGTCGCCATCAAGTCCGTAACAAAGATCCTGAAAACTTGCCCACCCTCGGGCTATTACAGCCTCACTCTCTTCTTTCGATGCTCGACCGCAGCCTGAAGAAGAGCGACGTCCACTGGCAATGCGATTGGCACGCTCTTTAGCTTGTTTGCTAGCAGGTCTCCGACAGGGAATATTGCCAGCGGACTCCTCGCTCTGGGATGACTCATGGGAGTGAGGGTTACGAGGACCTCGACCATCATCACCCACACTCTCTGCTGATACTTCTGAAGGAGACTGCGCAATTTTTCCTATCATTTCTACAACACCTGAATCTGAAGACGGCGAAGTGGCTGCCACAGCTGCAACCTCTCTGTCTTCTCTCCTGCCCCGCGGGGAATCATCAGAGGAAGCACTGGACCTGGCCACTGGTAAGACTTCAGGCTGGGGACCTCCGTCAGAATGTCCAATGGCGTCGGAGATGTGCTTAGCATGACTCGTCACATGTGCTTCTGAGCCGCGATGATGACTCTCACGTATGCTATCCTCGTCACAATCATCATCATGTCTCTGTAATAAATTGGTTAAATAGGATGTCTCACATAAACTTGTCTCTGAGTCTCTGTCCTCTAAAAATGCCTTACTAATGAGTGAAAATTTTTCACTCTCGTTACTTCTCATCACATTTTGAACAGTGCGAATAGGGTTGCTTTCTGCTACTTCTGTTGATGCTGATGAACTCCCTCCTCGTTCATTTTCTTTTGAACTGGAAAAGTTTTCATCTCCATCTCTCCTTATGACATTGCGTCGTCTTGGACTTCTCGTGTTCCTTTTGTAATATCCCTGTAAGGGATTAACACTAACTGCCTCTTTATTCTTCTTTGTTTCTTCGTCCTCTGGCGAAACTGTCTTCATGAGATATGAATTAAAATTACTTGACAAGCTCCTTTCTCCAACGAAAACTTTTTCCTCGATATAATTCTCTACATTATTCAATAACTCCTCGTACTCGACCTTAGTAACAGGTTCCGTAAGGTCCAGCGTGGTCGTACTAACACTAAGTGAAGTATCGGTTTCCTCACCTTCATGACCATGACACTTTGACTCTCGAATGGACTTGTCTTCTGCTGAAGTACCTTCGTGTTCACAGTACTCCTTTTTCCAAGCTTCTTTGTCGATATCACTCACCATGTTCTCTCTTTCATTGACATCTTTGTCTGGGTCGTGAACGGCAGGCGCTATAGGATGTGTAATGGGTTTGTTTTTCTTGACCCGAGGCTGACCTCGTGTCACTTCCCTGCTTACCAATGTCCCATTTTCTTCATTACTCCTTTCATCTCTGTCCTCACTGCCACTCATTGTGGGCAAGAAACACTCCAACGCTCTATGCCTTAACTCATCCACGCCATCTGCCATTATCTCAGATTCGTTCTCTCCGTTGTCAGTCACAGAGCTTTTACACCTCGGCGTTTCCATACTGTTATCTGTCATCGGTAGTAATGCATCCTCACCTCCCTCTACCACAACAGAATCCTCAGCTCCCTCTACCACAATAGAATCCTCAGCTCCCTCTACCACAACAGAATCTTCAGCTCCCTCTACCACAATAGAATCCTCAGCTCCCTCTACCACAACAGAATCTTCAGCTCCCTCTACCACAACAGAATCCTCAGTTCCCTCTACCACAACAGAATCCTCAGCTCCCTCTACCACAATAGAATCCTCAGCTCCCTCTACCACAACATAATCTTCAGCTCCCTCTACCACAATAGAATCCTCAGCTCCCTCTATCACAATAGAATCCTCAGCTACCTCTACCACAATAGAATCCTCAGCTCCCTCTACCACAATAGAATCTTCAGCTTCCTCTACCACAACAGAATCCTCAGCTCCATCTACCACAATAGAATCCTCAGCTTCCTCTACCACAATAGAATCTTCAGCTCCCTCTACCACAATAGAATCCTCAGCTCCTTCTACCACAATAGAATCCTCATCTTCTTCTACCACAACAGAATCCTCAGGTTCCTCTACCACAATAGAATCCTCAGCTTCCTCTATCACAAAAGAATCCACACCTTCTACCACAATAGAATCCTCAGCTCCCTCTACCACAATAGAATCCTCAGCTACCTCTATCACAATAGAATCCTCAGCTTCCTCTATCACAATAGAATCCTCACCTTCTACCACAATAGAATCCTCAGCTCCCTCTACCTGAATAGAATCCTCAGCTCCCTCTACCACAATAGAATCCTCAGCTCCCTCTAGAATCCTCAGAATAGAATCCTCAGCTCCCTCTACCACAATAGAATCCTCAGCTCCCTTTACCATAATAGAATCCTCAGCTACTTCCACCACAATAGAATCCTCACCTGCTACCACAATAGAATCCTCAGCTCCCTCTACCATAATAGAATCCTCAGCTACCTCCACCACAATAGAATCCTCACCTTCTACCACAATAGAATCCTCAGCTCCCTCTATCACAATAGAATCCTCACCTTCTACCACAATAGAATCCTCAGCTACCTCTATCACAATAGAATCCTCACCTTCTACCACAATAGAATCCTCAGCTCCCTCTATCACAATAGAATCCTCACCTTCTACCACAATAGAATCCTCAGCTTCCTCTATCACAACAGAATCCTCACCTTCTACCACAATAGAATTCCCAGCTCCCTCTACCACAATAGAATCCTCAGCTACCTCTACCACACTATAATCCTCACCTTCTACCACAATAGAACCCCCAGCTTCCTCTACCACAATAGAATCCTCAGCACCCTCTACCACAATAGAACCCCCAGTTCCCTCTACCACAACAGAATCTTCAGCTCCCTCTACCACAATAGAATCCTCATCTTCCTCTACCACAATAGAATCCTCAGCTTCCTCTAACACAACAGAATCCTCACCTTCTACCACAATAGAATCCTCAGCTTCCTCTATCACAACAGAATCCTCACCTTCTACCACAATAGAATCCTCTGCTCCCTCTACCACAATAGAATCCTCACCTCCCTCTACCACAATAGAATCCTCAGCTACCTCTACCACACTAGAATCCTCACCTTCTACCACAATAGGACCCCCAGCTTCCTCTACCACAATAGAATCCTCAGCTCCCTCTCCCACAATAAAATCCTCAGCATCCTCTACCACAACAGAATCCGCAACTCCCTCTACCACAACAGAATCTTCAGCTCCCTCTACCACAATAGAATCCTCATCTTCCTCTACCACAATAGAATCCTCAGTTCTCTCTACCACAATAGAATCCTCAGCTTCCTCTACCACAATAAATTCCTCACCTTCTTCTACCACAATAGGATCCTCAACTTCCTCTAGCACAATAGAACCCCCAGCTCCTTGTTCAGTGACAACAGAAGCTTCACCTTGTTCAGCGACAATAAAAGCGTCATCTTGTTCAGTGACAATAGAAGCTTCACCTTGTTCAGTGACAACAGAAGCTTCATCTTGTTCAGTGACAACAGAAGCTTCACCTTGTTCAGCGACAATAAAAGCGTCATCTTGTTCAGTGACAATAGAAGCTTCTCCTTGTTCAGTGACAACAGAAGCTTCATCTTGTTCAGTGGCAACAGAAGCTTCACCTTGTTCAGCGACAATAAAAGCGTCATCTTGTTCAGCGACAATAGAACCTTCACCTTGTTCAGTGTCAACAGAAGCTTCATCTTGTTCAGTGACAACAGAAGCTTCACCTTGTTCAGCGACAACATAAGCTTCACCTCCTTCCATCATATTAATACTCTCAGTTTCTTTGTCCACAACATTATTCTTGTCTTCCTCTACCAGTGTGTTACCATTACAGCCATCTACAGCAACAGTATCCTTCTGTCTCTTATCCCTATCTTCTTTGGCCAACACACAACTCTCACCGTCTTCCGTTACTGTAGAACTTTTACAATTTTCTACCTGTCCAAATTTTGTTCCTTTGTTCACATCTGCATTATCAGTTTTCAGTTCCGCAAAGCTATTTTCTCTGTCCACCACCCAGTCATGGAGAACTTCTGCTGCATTGTCTGCCATTAGAGTCACCTGTTCCTGCTGCAGGAGTGCTGCTACTTCGGTTGGCTCCTCATCTTCGTCTATGGTGGAGAGTCCTGAGTTGGTCTCATCTACTGGTGTCTGTTTACCGTCATCCGTTGTGATGACGCGGAAGATTTCCTCCAGCAAATCTGGATTATGATCTGGTAGAGAGGTTTTTGCAGAGGTCTCCTGGGGACTTAGGGATCTGTTTTGTTGTAAACATGTGTCGTCGAATTCATTTAGTTCCTCAACACCTTCTTCGTGTTGTGGGCTGTCTGTGAGAATGAATTCTGTGTCAATGTCTGGGGTAAGGTTTCTACTGCCGGAGCTGCTACCCGAGAGTGCCCGGATCACAGTCACACGGTCCCACGAATCTGTCCCATCACTCAGTTCCTCTGCTTCTGGTTCCTTTACCGACGCCTCCGTGCCAGGACTCAGCTGTTGCTCCTCCTCTCTGAGCTCTATGCAGTAGCTCAGCATGTGTTCCTCATCCTTATGCTCTATGCTGGGTCCTGTTGCAAGGTTTGGTATCTCTACGTCCACTAACTCTTTACCAGTGTTCAATACTTGTTCCTCCCAAGTCCCCATGTCAAGGTTCAATACCTGCTCCTCCATCCTAGGTTCTGCCCCAGGGTTTAGTGTATTCTTTCTTCTAGGCTGTATGGTAGGGCTCAATACTTCAGTCCTTCTAGGTACTGTTCTAGGAGTCAGTACCTGTTCTTCTCTCAGGTCTGTTCTAGGAGTCAGTACCTGTTCTTCTCCCAGGTCTGTTCTAGGAGTCAGTAACTGTTCTTCTCCCAGGTCTGTTCTATGGGTTAGCACCTGTTCTTCTCCCAGGTCTGTTCTAGGAGTCAGCACCTGTTCTCCCAGGTCTGTTCTAGGGGTTATCACCTGTTCTTCTCCCAGGTTTGTTCTAGGAGTCAGTACCTGTTCTTCTCCCAGGTCTGTTCTAGGGGTCAGTACCTGTACGTCTTCCAGGTCTGTTCTAGGGGTTATCTCCTGTTCTTCTCCCAGGTCTGTTCTAGGGGTCAGTACTTGTTCTTCTCCCAGGTCTGTTCTAGGGGTCAGTACCTGTTCTTCTCCCAGGTCTGTTCTAGGAGTCAGTACCTGTACTTCTCCCAGGTCTGTTCTAGGGGTCAGTACCTGTACTTCTCCCAGGTCTGTTCTAGGGGTCAGTACCTGTACTTCTCCCAGGTCTGTTCTAGGGGTCAGTACTTGTTCTTCTCCCAGGTGTGTTCTAGGAGTCAGTACCTGTTCTTCTCCCAGGTCTGTTCTAGGAGTCAGTACCTGTACTTCTCCCAGGTCTGTTCTAGGGGTTATCACCTGGTCTTCTCCCAGGTCTGTTCTAGGAGTCAGTACCTGTTCTTCTCCCAGGTCTGTTCTAGGAGTCAGTATCTGTTCTTCTCCCAGGTCTGTTCTAGGGGTCAGTACCTGTTCTTCTCCCAGGTCTGTTCTTGGGGTTACCTGTTCTTCTCCCAGGTCTATTCTAGGGGTTAGTACCTGTTCTTCTCCCAGGTATGTTCTAAGGGTTAGTACCTGTTCTTCTCCCAGGTCTGTTCTAGGGGTCAGTACCTGTACGTCTCCCAGGTCTGTTCTAGGGGTCAGTACCTGTTCTTCTCCCAGGTCTGTTCTAGGGGTCAGTACCTGTTCTTCTCCCAGGTCTGTTCTAGGGGTCAGTACCTGTACGTCTCCCAGGTCTGTTCTAGGGGTCAGTACCTGTACGTCTCCCAGGTCAGTTCTAGGGGTCAGTATCTGTACGTCTCTTCGCTCTGTTCTTGGGGTCAGTATCTGTACGTCTCTTCGCTCTGTAGTAAGAGACAACATCTCGTGTTTAATGACTTCGGTCTCAGATTTTGTTGATTCCCTCGAGCCTTTAACGCTGTCTGGATGAAGTGGATCTGTTGTTGCACTGACAGTAGTGTCGGCGCCGCTCCCATGACCTGCATCTTCAACGTGAGAATTATCGCTATCCTCTCCATCGAAGTTATATATAGCTTCTTGTTTACTTCTGCTACACATCGATTGGCATTCCTCATCCTCTTCAATGGATTTGTTTTTTTGTTTATCCTTCTTTTGCATGCATTTGTCTTTTCTCATTCCTTCTCTTGAAATTGTTTCACTATTACCATTTGTAATACCAACGTCTTCATTTTGTGGCTCGTCCCCAAAGTCCTGCATTTCTGCCATGTTTGATCCTTGTGAATTTGAGTATTTTGGGGAGTTCAATAACACCTCTCTACCATTACAAACTTGAACATTACAAACACTTTGTGTTTTTGTAATAATATCAATACTTTTCTGCATCACATCTTTGATTAGTGCTTTACTTTCAGTCGTCGGTAATGCAGTCTGTTTATCTTGATCACAACCAATACTGAGAGAGTCCGAAGAAAAACTGGGGTCATCTATGTCGATGAAGCCACTCTCCAGCAGCACCTCCTTCCCACTAGCAGTGTAGCCGATAATCTCGTACTGTTCCTGGGTCTTGTCAACACAACTCTCCTCCTTTACTTCCTCAGGAGTCTGGAGAAACTCATCATCAGAAATCTCATTATTTTCCGTAATTAAGTTTTCACTGATCTCCCCCACGCCATCACTCACACTGATAATATCATTCTCCTCTACGATGGAGGAATTATCGATAACGTCCACATCACTTTGCGACCAGTTCTTGTCAGAAAAATTACCACTTTCGATAGTACGTATGATTTCGGAACGGTTACTATCACTTTTATCGTTTGTTTTCGAGAAAGACTGAAAAGTGTCTGTGTCGTAGTCATCATCATCTGGTCCAGCTTGTTCAGGGTTAACATGCCCAGATTTTTCGTTCATCTCCGTAAATGCACCATCATTCTTTTGTGTCTGTTGAACATTTATTATATTATTGCTTAGTGAAAGATTTGACATTATTCGATCTGTGGCCTCAGAGGTCATCGTTGCACCACTATCATCACGCCTACTCACTACCTCCTTTTTTTCTGTAGAGGACCGAATGTTCACAGGCAAGCGAGGCTCCGTCACTGACTCATCCTTTGCGTCATTCATAAGATTCATCTCTACCTGCCTGGGGCTGTATTCTTTCACTGCAATATTCCTTCTGGAAGTTTGATCATCTGTGGAGTTGGAGGCGGGGGTCGACTCTCCAGACATTGAAGTGTAGGTATCAGAGTAGTGCGGGGAGCAGGTTGGGTTGCTGTGTATCCTATCTTGAATTAGACTCGTAACTGCGTTTCCTTTGGATGTTTGTCTATTTATTGAAGTGTTGGAAGAGCCAGTATGATTAGCTGCTTTCGGGGAAGATAATTGCAAAATGTCAGAATAAGAAGTTTCTGTGCATTCTGAAGAGTAAACCAGCAAGGGTGTATTCTTTATGTCCACAGCTTCTAGACTGTCCAAAATATCGGAATCGCTTGTAATATGAGCATTTTCATTCAGATTATTTTTCTGTGAACTACTTGATATTTCCTGATCACTTCTGCTTTCTTCTCTGGCAATTGTGTGCGCAAGTTTTACCTCATCGAGGAGGACATCATTTATTCGCTTCCCAGTGAGAGCAAGGCTTGAGGTGGTGTCAGGGAGTGGTTGTCGCCGGGAAGCAGCTCTTCGTTTCTCCATGCGGGCCGTGAGCCTCGCCGGCAGTGTAGGACACACATCCAGGTCAGATGTCACGTTCTTTATTGGTACATAAAAAGCCTGATTAGCCGAGCGTTGTGTGATGTTCTTGCTCTCGTCCTCCTCCAGGCTGTCGTAATAGACTGACTCAGCGCCTTCACTCCCTAGAGAGTTTCGTCGACGATGGACTAGGCTAGTGTGTCGAATACTGTCCATACTTTCAGTCTGTGATGAAGAATCGGTTAAAGCTGTTGGAAGAATTTTCTTTTGCAGTGTCTTCATCGACATATGTTTTGATACCCATTCTTTCCTTTGCGACCGTCGCCCCTTTTGTGAGTCCGGCCTTCCCACTGAGGTCGGCAGAGCTCCTAACAGCGGGCTAGCACGAAGTACTGCTTGGGTTTCACTTTCTATGAATCGGTTCATCTTTTGAGCCCATTTTTTGGAATTTTTCTGCATTTTTTCTCCAGCCTTGTTTGCTTCATGTATGTGTGGTGGAGTGACAGTGGTATTAGTGGTGGCCTTAGTGTCGTCTTGATGACTCCGCGGTGGCACTACTAGCAAGCCCCGCGCGTCCCCAAGGGTCCCCAGAGTAGCTATTGTCTCGTAAACCACTGCGGAACTAACACAGCGAAAGTCTCGTAGATCTGGCATGGAGCTGCGACGATCTAACTTGGGTCGAGGAAGTACCATGATATGACTATCTAAGGGAGGGCGGTAGTCGGCCAGCAAACTCTCTGTGTCTCTTTCTTCTGAGGTAATACTGAAAGTGTCACTGAGAACTTGGGTGGTGCCCATCTTGTAGCCCGACTCTCCAACATTCTTGCTCCTCAGCTGCCGGGTTCTTGCCTCTAGCTCTTCAGGAGGCCATGTTGGGTAGGGCTTCTGGTTTTCGCGGATGATGTCATCAGTAGAGCCCGGAGGAAAGGGTCGTGTAGGTGGTGCAGGGACACGTCGGGGGGGAGGTCCTGGGGAGTGGTACTGGGATGGCGGCCGGGAATGTGTGCGTAGGAACCTGTCGCAGACCACCTGTTCCTCCCTGGGGGCTCGACGCCGCTGATATGGACTTAAAAAGGCTCGTGCTCTGTGGGAGACGATCAATATGTAAGATAAGATGTCGTCTAAAAGTGTGAAGAAATACTTGATAACATCCTAAAAGCGAGACTAAATACAGACCATTGCAACATTCTACAAGTGTGACTAAATACAGCACTTGACAACATTCTACAATCGTGATTAAATACAGCACGTGAAAACATTCTACAAGTGTGACTAAATACAGCACATGACAACATTCAACAAGTGTGACTAAATACAGCACATGAAAACATTCTACAAGCGTGATTAAATACAGTACGTGAAAACATTCTACAAGTGTGACTAAATGCAGCACCTGACAACATAATACAAGCGTGACTAAATATAGTGCGTGAAAACATTCTACAAGTGTGACTAAATGCAGCACATGGCAGCATTCTACAAGCGTGACTAAAATAATACAGTACGTGAAAACATTCTACAAGCGTGACTAAATACAGGAAGTGAAAACATTCTACAAGCGTGACTAAATACAGCACATAAAATATTTTACCAGTGTGAACAAATACTTGACAATCTTCTACAAGTGTGTACAAATATATAATAACTATCTACAGGTATAAGTAGGAGACAAATTATGTAAACTAAGAGTGATTAAATCTCAGTTAATCGACACTAACTCTCCACAAGAGTGAGTTGATATACTGTACAGGGTGTTCCGTAAATACCTTTCATAATTCAGGGGGTGTATTCCTGAGACACAAATAAAGATAAATGAATAAATTACTAAATGTCAATTCGCAATAGTTTCGGAGTTACAGCACAGGACATGTTTGGAAGGAATGTAATGAAACCTTTATGGGTGTAAATGAAACATCCAATGGACAGCATGCTGACAACCGTTTCTTTCCATCTTTAGTGCTTTTTACTAATGAAGCAACGATTTTAAGAGATGACATTATTAATTTGCACAATATGCATACCTGGTCTGTTGGCAACCCACATGCAGTGGACCTGTAGATCTCATCAGGTACGATTCGCAATCAAGTTTGAGCCGGCATTATTGGTGACTACCTTGTTGGCCCATCTCTTCTGTCCCAGTGACCGACAGGTGTAACCTACAGACGTTTTCTTGAGGACATTACTACTACTGCTGGAGGATGTGCCCATTAGATTCTGGCAGCGTATGTGGTTCCAGTATGCTGATGCTCCAGCTCATTTTACGAGAACGACAAGGGAATACCTAAATGTTGTGCATCCTGGAAGGGGGATAGGGCCCTGTTCCATGGCCACCTCGGTCACCTGACATAAATCCCCTTGAATTTTACCTGTGTAACTCTGAAACTATTGCGAATTGACAATTTGGTCATTTAGTCGTTTATCTGTATTTATGTCTCAGGAATACATCCCTGATTTATGAAAGATATTTACGGAACACCTTGTATATGGTAACAATCTTCCACAAGTATAGATTGATTTACAATATTTTTTTCATAGGTATTCCGTATGTATAATTATTTCTTCTAAGTATTTGTTAACTTACGAGAATTGTTTATAAGCATGAGTTAATTTATGATAATCTTTTAAAAGCATGAGTTTATTTATGATGATATTTTATAAATATGAATTAATATATGATAACCTTTCAAAAATATAGGTTAATTTATTATAACATTTTATAAATATAAGTTAATATATGATAATATTTCATAAATATTAGTTAATATAGGATAATCTTTTATAAATGTGAGTTAATTTATCACAATATTTTATAAGTGTTAGGCAATTAATAATATTGTTCTGATAAATGATAAAAAATAGGAGGTAATCAGTAATATTATTTTACAAGTGTGGGTTATGTTATGACAATACTTTGTTACAGTGAGCTAATTTGTAATGACCTCGACAATGTCACGTCTTCTACCACGAAAAAAATAAGTTTGAGACAGTAAGAACCACCAGCACTAGGACTCTACCTCACATCTCTAAGGCAGCTCTATCACACATACACACACACACACACTTTTAATGCATATTTGTAATGCAGTCTCATCATTCATTTCCCCTTTCTTTCATTAGCATTTCACCTTTATCTTCATCCCCTCTCGTGTTATGTCCATCTCCAACTACATTCTCTATTTCCCTACCATCTCTCTACATTTACTTTTTTCATCTTAAATTAGTTTTGCATTTCTTGTCATGAATTCTCTTGACCGTTCTGTCTGCCTTTGTGTCATCTCCTTACTCTGTCTCTGCCTTTCTTATAATCCAGCAGATATGTGCAAAAATATGAGCGAATTGTGACTTTAATGATAAAAGCATGAAATTTGGTACAGAGTTAAGGAAGGTATAAAGGAAAAATTTTGGCTATAGTGTAACATCACCTTTTGCATTATATGAATATTCACCCAAATGTATAACACCAAATTATTCACAAAGTTATTCAACAATGACTCAGTAGTTATTCATGTTATACACGCTGAGCTTGTAACTCTTTCAGAGGGCAGGCGAGGTCAACCTGACGAGTCAAACACCTCGCCCGCTCCTCCTCCCTTCACGCTCCAGTCATGGCGTGACCACATAAGGGGACAGACGTGCCCATAGATGCTCTTGACTTCCCGATCGTCCCATAAACGGCCCCCTTAGCCGGCAAGTCTTTGCCAGCATAGGGGGTCGACATAAACGTCCCAGAAGAGGCTCTCTCATGGACGCAGACATATCTGATACGGATGCCATCGCCAACTCGCCTGGTCATACTGAATCCAATACCCTTCAAGAGTCAGACCCCAGTGATTATGACAGTGCCGGTAATTTTTCTATGGTAAACACTAGCCGGAGTGGAAACACCAATGCCACGGACCCTATCACCCTTCCCTCTGCCAACCAGCCAAGTAAGCTGAATCTGCACTTCCCCAAGGGCTCACTGAAAACCGTTGAGGAACGGTTAAATTGGAAGATGAAGTACTGCAGACAACACGGTCTCAACATTCAATTCCGACAAGATAAGAACCGGAACTTTATCAAGTGTCAGACTCCTGAGCTCTATGAAACACTTAATGCTGTCGGGTTTGACGGGGTTGTTCTGGTGCCCCACCGCACAGTAGACGCTGATGAATATTGCACATCCTAGTGAGACGATTCCCCCTATATGCTGACATCGAACATGCATGTGACTTTAATTCTAGTATACTCAGTATACGTCGACATTACCTGTCAAGTGGAAGGGAAGGGAATGCCCAACCACTGTGGAGGCCCACCCAATCCTCCCACCACTTTATGCAGAACCCTATCATCCAGGGCCTGCTTTTTGTGTTATCTGTTCTCATTGGGGTCACATCTTCACTGCCTGCTGCCGACGTGATCATCCCAGATGTCACTTCTGTTCACGTAACCATAACTCCGCCGCCTGTGCCCAGGAAATCAAAGACCACCTTAATGGGGGTGGTGTGGGATATGTAGTTGATCCCAGGTTGATCCATATTCTGGAGCAGGGTGGTAATATCGACAATATATACCTAGATTTTGCCAAGGCTTTAGACAGTGTACCCCACGAAAGGCTGAAAATCAAACTGGAAGGGTACGGAATTCGGGGAAATATCCTAGCATAGATAAAAGACTTTCTACATGACCGCAAGCAGTGTGCGGTGATTAATGGCACGAAATCATCATCTGTACCTGTCACAAGCTGGGTACCACAGGGCAGTGTATTGGGCCCGCTGTTGTTTGTTTGTTTCATAAATGACATGCCTGACGTTGTACAGTACACTCCTCCATACAAATATTTGCCGATGACGCCAAGTTATTTCGGGAAATTAATAACCAAGCAGACTGTGAAGAGCTGCAGAAGGACCTCTGTGGGCTCCAGGAATGGTCGAAGAAATGGCTGCTGAGATTCAATGTCACGAAGTGTAAGAGGATGCACCTGGGGCGTACCAATGGTAAGGAGGCGTATCATATGTCCTAACGGGTTGAAGAAACTGCACTAGTTGAGACTGAATGTGAGAAGGACCTAGGTGTGTATGTTGACAATGAGCTGAAGTTCTCGGGCCATTGCGAGAAGAAGGTAAATCAGGCAAATAAGTTAGTGGGTCTTATAAGAAGGTCGTTCAGATATCTAGACGGTCCGTCCCTCGTAACGATCTTCAAGAGTGAAGTGCTTCCCCACCTGGAGTACTGTCACCCTGTCTGATCCCTTGATATGTTAGGGACTGTCAGTTGGTTGAAAATGTTCAAAGGAGGGCTACCAGACTGGTGCCTGCACTTTGGCACCTCAACTAACCTGAAAGATTGGAGCGCCTGAACTTGCCCAGCTTACTACAGACGGGCAAGGGGCGACCTAATTGAAGTGTATAAGCATTTCAAGGAGCACTACTCAGTCGAGTGTCCTTACTTGGAGCTGGCGGACGCTTGCCCCACAAGGGGTCATAGCTCAAGATTAAAGAAGCCGCAGGTCCAGAAAACTGTGAGGACAAACTTTTTCGGAGTGAGAGTTGTAAACTCTTGGAACAATCTACCAGAAACTGTTGTGATGGCACCGAGTGTGAGCTCTTTCAAGACCAGACTTGACCAACACTGGAGCAGGTTCAGGTACATTCAGGAGCTGGTGCATGCCCAGTACTTGCCAACAGTGCGTAACAGATATGTGACCGATCGCCCAAGCAGCTAACGAGTCGATCAATTGGTGAAGAGGTTAAAAGAAAAAAAAAGTAACAGAGACGTGACCGATGCCCAAGCGGCTAACGAGCCGTTCAGTGATGAAGAGGATAAAAGTAAAAGTAAAACTGTGGCGGCCAGAATAATACTGACTCACGGCAATGCCCCAATCGCCTGTCTTTCCCAGGGGAAAAGCCTCCCCGGAGGCCGAGTCTACCACAACGCCCCCCCCCCCCTAGTCTACCAGGCCGCCTCCCTCTGGGTCCCCTCTGTCTCCAGCAACGCCTTCTTCAACAACACCTGCCCCTGCTTGGCCTCACCTGGCTGCAACACAGCAGTCCCAGCCGTCTCTTAACTCAACTACTACTGGGCCTCCTCCCCGTCTCTACTCTG